TATATATATATATTATATAGGAACAATAATAATACTAATAAATAAATGGTTTTCACCAATCATCATGATGCACAAACCTTTGCAACAACATATCATCCAAAAGCGAGTTATGCGTTTATATCATCTACAAAATAAAAGCACTTGCCACTGCTCACAATGATAACTTTTCAATATCTGTGTGGAAGGGCACAATAAAGCATATGATACAGTTACTGTTAGAGAGAGTTACTTCAGAAATATGGTGATGACGAGTGCCACATTAGTAGTTATACTTGAGAACATTTAAGCATCTGAACTTAATAGATGACAGTTAGTAGTTATAATGGAAGGACTTAACTTTTAAGTCTCTGAACTTGGTACTTACCGAAGGAATAACTTCAGATCCTTGCTCAAATATTAAATTCTAAAATCCCCCACTATTACTACAAAACTTCTGATATGTCTGGCTCGTAGCCTTCCTGCTTTGCCTGTCTAGTGACTTGCCAAAGCATATCATAGATTGAATATGCATGTTTGTCGGCACTGTCACCTGCCATAAAATCGTGAACAACTCCATCTATTTGAACCCAACTCCGACCTGCAGGCTTCTTCACGCCCATGTCAATCATTTTTTGTCTCACATTAGCAACATCCCGCCACCTGTTTGCAAAAGCATACACATTTGACAACAGCACAAGATACCCGGCAGCATAGTCGGGGTCAAGATCAGCAACCAATTTCTGAGCCACTTGAGAGGCAAGATCAACATTCTTATGAATCCTACAACCACCGAGTAGGGCACCCCACACAGCATCATTTGGTTTCACAGGCATGGTTTCAATAAGATTGAATGCTTCATCCAAGAAACCAGCACGGCTGAGAAGATCAACCATGCAACAATAGTGCTCAATCCTGGGCTCAATTCCCCAGTTTTGAGTCATTTGTGTAAAATGAAGCCAACCCTCCTCAACATATCCAGCATGACTACAAGCACAGAGAACTCCAAGGTAGGTTACTGCATCAGGCTTGACTTCTCTGTCTCCCAAGCTTAGCATACGTTCATACACAACAAGAGCTTCTTGCGCAAAGCCCTGTTTTGCTAATCCCATGATCATGCTTGTCCAAGAAACAGTACTTCTTTCCGGCATGTATTTAAGCACTTGATAAGCTTCCTCAATCAAACCACAACTAGCATACATGTGTATAAGTGCATTGTTCAAAGATACCAACAATTGCTGGCTTCCAAACCGTGATGTCTCTTTGATATGTGAGTGAATCCACTTCCCCAATTCTAAATCACCCAATTCAGCACAGGCTGATAATGCTGCCAGCAATGCCACCTGATCCAACTGGACACGCGCCCTCCTCATCTGATTAAAAAAGGACAAAGCTTGCTTACACTTCCCATTCCCAGCAAACCCTGCAACCATTGTCGTCCATGACACCACGTTCCTCTCTGGCATCTCATCGAAAACTCTCCTCGCCATATCAACATCCCCAGACCTAATATAGCCTGCGAGCAACGAATTCCAACTCACCACATTCTTCTCCCCCATTTCATCAAACACTCTACGTGCATAACCAATGCCATTACCACCACCTACCATTGCATACAAATTAACCAAATTCGTCCTCACAAACACATTAGAGCAATACCCATCTGCCAAAACTCTCCCATGAACCTGTTCCCCTTCTCTCAACATCCCAGACCTGGCGCAAGCGCTCAGAAGATATGAATAAGTAAACCCATCAGGGATAGCCCCCGTTGCAACCATTTGGTTATACAATTCAACCGATTTTTCAGGGTTTTCGGTTCTTGAATACCCTCGGATGACCTGGTTCCAGATTGTCGTACTTGGTTTTTCGATAGTCTCGAAAATTTTAAGGGCATGTGGGAGATTATTACTAGAGGTTATATAGAATGAGATAAGGTTTACTAGGATGAAATTTTTCTGAGAAAAACCGTTAATGATGATCTGGGTGTGGATTTGGGTAATCTTTTTAATGGTGCTACATTTTTGAAGAAGGGAAATGATGCGTTGTTGTAGAGTTCTGGAGTTGACCAGATTGGCGGGAATGACTCCTTCAACTAACATTTGAAAATAAAATTGTTAAGGAGACATATTTGCAAGTTGCGGTAGATATTATTAATCACGAGCCTTAATTATAATTTATAGGTATACAAGTGACAAAATGAAAATTGGACATGCTTAACTTATACCTGATCAATAGTTTCCCAAGAATTTTTTTAACTTGGCATATATTTTTAATCGAGTTTTTTTTTTTTAAGAAATAAATGTAGTACACTTGTGTCAAAATAATTCATGAGAATGAAATTCCATAACATTGCTCAATAAAATTGAAATACTACCTCTAAAGAGATCTTAAGAAGCATTATACCAACAGGGTATTAAAAAGTCATAATAACAAAAAAATCTGTCAAATAATTAGATTCGTGATTAGGGACGGAGATAATCAATTTTTGTTAGGGGCCTAAGATAGAGAAATAATAGCTAAAACTTTTAAAAACTAATATATTAACTTAATCAATAATTAAAATATTCATAATTGAAAATAATTTTACATAACATGTAAATCATAAAAAAAAAACCTTCAATATTTTTTTTGAAAAATTGTGCTCGACGATGTTTTTGGGATTCAAATTCATTAATTATTGACTCTATTTCTTCTAGATTGAATCTTGGATATTTTAATTTACATTGCTCTTGTTTATAAATTGAAGTATTTAGGTTTGGTGGCTCAAATATAGCAAAATCATTTGGATGTTTTTCATATTTTATTTTAAAGAATTTGTCAATTATTTTCAATTTATTTAAACTTTAATCAAACTTGAAAAAAATTAATACAGTTAACATCTAATATTTTTATTTAAACTTATAAAACTCAATATAAAATTACAATGACTAATATATAAATAGTTAAATATGATATACATGATTAACAATTTTCTCTTATATAATTAGGATTAATAAAAAATAATACATTAATAAAATTTTAAATAGCAGTGCAACACTACAATTTATATTTGAGAATTACATAATAATTTTTTAATTTTTAAAGAGTAAAATGATAGAAAATAAAATTCATACAATAGAAAAATACAGAATATGACAAGTAGAAGATAGAACCACATATGACCAAAAAAACTTGTTAATAGTTCGTAAAAATTTGGAAAAAAAAATCTATAAAAACTTTGAATATGTGAACAAATAGAACAAAAATGAAATAAATAAATAAAAATAAAAATAATAATATAAGTTGAAAGAAAAAGACAAAAACTTTACTTTCTAACAAAAACAAATATAAATCTATAAAAACTTTACTTTCTTCTTGCACTCGAACATTTAGCTCATTGATTGGTGCATTATCTCTCTGGTTAAAAAATAAGGTTCAAATCCCCCCTCTCCCAATTATTAAAAAAAAAAGACCTTACTTTTTTCTTAATTTCACACAAAGGTGGTTAATAGTTCCCGTCCGTCCTTTCCAATCTACTAAGTTCATAAACTCCTCTTGAAGAATGAAATGTGTTTCAGTGATGAGTTATAGAGAAGAGAGTCAAGTAAAAATGAAAAAACAAAAAAGAAGAGAAAAAAGAAAGAGCAAAAATGATGGGAGAAACTTAAAGTTAAAAGAGGGTAAAGTTGAATGGAACATATAAAGTTATTTTGTTATTCTCTATTTGTATTAATTATTAAATTAAAAAATTATATTGAGAGGCTATTAAAAGAATATATAAAAGATTTTTAAAAATTTTGTATAATAGAAAAAAATTTTAAACATTTTAGGAGAGCTGTGACTAAGAGAGGATCCATTTTGTTTGCGATACACATGAATGTTAATAATTTATAATTCCTTCTTTAAGAGATTGTTAATAATCAAAGTCAAATTTGAATTAACATTTGGTTTATATGTTTCCATTTGAATCACCTATGCAGCAGTTTTGTTATCCATAACCAAAAACATCCTTCATCTCATGCCATTGATAATCCCCAATAAGCATCCTATAATTCTACTCGATATGTAGAACATTTTTCAAATTTGACCAAAACATCGAATTTCCAAATCTCAAAGTGATCACAAAGGACACTTCTTGTAGTGGATTAATGACATGAAGTTCGATGAGCTTTATTAGTATTGAGTAGCAACCAATCTTGAGACAACGAGTTTTGTCATTCTAACTCGTAAAGAGAGGATTAAAAAATTAAGTGATGTAGATATTGATTTTGGTTAATATTTATTATTTGAAGAATTATTTTATAATATAATATTATACAAAAAACAACTAAAACAGGTGAAATACTACTTCATGCAGAACAACTAAAACAATTAAAAGTGAAGCACTACTCCATATGGAACAACTAATACAAGTGAAACAATTATTTCGTATAGAATAACCATTTCACATGGATGACAGTGAAAGCAATCCAAAATGAGTGGTAGGGTTCATGGGTTATTTTCATTTTTGAATGTTCCGGAGAGTTTGGTTTAGTGGCTCATATATGAAAGTAGTTAATAGGTTTTCCTTTTAACTTTTTCCTAAAGTACAAGTGTTTTACCTTATTACCTTGTTCTTATATACATGTTCACATACACTTTCTTCTCTTATACCTATTTATGTATAACATCCTTTCTTATACCTATCCATGTATAGTTTCTTCTCTTGTACTTTTTCACATATACCTCTTCTCTATTACCTTTTACTTGAGAACAAATCTTATTATATCCAATTACAGTAATGGTTACTCATATTAAAACCTTTTATAATAAGCTATTCAAAAAAAAACTTTTTATAATAATGTTATTCATGAGTTGCATTAAAACCTATTCTTTAGTAACCATTACTTTTAACACTATATATAGAGCTTCACAATTCATTTAGAGGAGCTCTTCCCCTAGAAGCGCATAGTTGATCCTCCAGAGCTTTTTTCTCTAATTCTCTTTTACTCCTTAATTCTCTTTTTATTATCTTTCATCTATAACAACATTTAATACTTCAAAAACTGTTCTAATCTTCCTTTTTATAGCCTTCGACGTATTCTTTACTTATTTACAATGCTTTTTCTCTTCATCACGAAAACCTCTTTTACAAGTGATAAGTACAACTCGTAAGGAAAGGATTACAAAATCAAGTGATAATTACATTACTGTACAAAAATCATAACCCAAGAGAGATTATATCAAAAGATTTTTTTCCTAATCTTTGGTACCGTATTTCACAAATGTATTTTAATGAAATGCTTAAATCTATTAATATATATATATTTTTTAATTGAGGAATGAGGGATTCGAACCTTGCTCTTTAGGTAGATGGATAATACAACAACTAATGAGTTAAATGCTCTGGTGCCTTAAATCTATTAAAAAATATATTTTTTAATCTTAATAAAATTAAATTATTATGATAAAAAGAAGACTTTGCCAACTTAAGTTTTTTTTATGGTTAGTTTCCAACTTATTTACTAATACAAGAATTTCATGTGAATCTCCTATGCCTCGAGTATATGATAAAATTCATCATCTTAATAAAAATACTTATTCTTTAAATCCATATATTTTGAATTTATTTTATCAAATTCATCTAATTATCCTATATGTAATCGTTAACCTTAAAAATGTGTGTTAAAAACAAGTTTTTATTGATGTTATGTTTTAGTTTTTTTTAATTAAAATCTTATTTTAGAAATAAAATTTTCATTAAATTGTATTACATAAAAATGAGAATTCAAACATTGAAAGAGAAATTCAAACTATTATGTAGGAGATTTAATTTTCATTAAATTGTAATACATAAAAATATGAAAGAAATTTAATTTTAACTGTCACTTTCAAAACAACATTGTGTAATAACTAATTTTTTTAATTTAAAAAGAAAAATTCGATTATTATGTAAGAAATCATGCATCAATCATTAGGTTAAATACTTGAATGTTTGTGTCATAAATAAATTAACAAGTGAATAAGTTTGGAAAATAAAGTTTTTTTTTTAGAATGAATTGTATTTTATCATAGACTCTACACACCTTAAGCAGTTTTAAGGTATATTATATAAAAAAAAATGTACTATTAAAAAAATACAAATAAATTTTTATTTTTTTAATTAGTTTAATCAATTTTTATATTTTTATTTTGGATCAAATAATCTTTTATGATTAGCAGTTAATTGACTGTTATTAGTTAAAATACTATTTATCATTTCATATTATATGATGTTAATATGATATATTATAATAAATAATGATGTGATATTTGATGTAATTACGTAATATTTTCACATTTTATATCCATGTTACATTAATATCATATGATATAAAAAATGAAAAATTAAATTTTAACTAAAAATAGTTAATGCATTTGATTTAAAATAAAAGTACAAAGATTTAATTGACATGAAAAAAAAATTAATTAAATATTTTTAAATAACACAAGAACTTATTAAAAAGTTTGTCCAAAATTTTAACTACTATGCAAAGTAGACGTAAGAAAGAAATTTATTGGTGTGCGGTGCGGTCTCCAAAACTTATGCCAAATTGTAGGACACTACATATTTATTCATGAAATTTGGCCATGTAAACCTCTCGCTGAAAAATGTTGAAGCTTTTGCCGCGTAATCGAACGCCATTTTGTTGCACCAAGTACCCTTCAAGCCTCTCCAAAACAGCCTCGCACTCATCACCATCTCATCATCTGAATCTGACCAAGGCCATCCTCAACTCCCAAACTCCCCACCAAGCTCTCAAACTTTTCAATTCCAACATAAAACTCATCAACCCATCGAAAAATCTCGAGCCTTATTCAGCCATTATTCACGTTTTAGCGGGTGCTAAACTTTATGCAGACGCCAGATGTTTGATAAAATGCCTCATCAAAACCCTCCAAAGCTCGTTGAAACCCCACCGCGCTTGCCACTTAATTTTCAATGCCCTTAGCAAATTACAAACCTCAAAGTTCACTCCCAATGTTTTTGGGTCGTTAATCATTGCATTTTCTGAGATGGGTCTGATCGAAGAAGCCTTGTGGGTTTATAGAAAAATCAGAACTTTCCCGCCAATGCAGGCTTGTAACTCACTTTTAGATGGGTTAGTTAAGATGGGGAGATTTGATTTGATGTGGGATGTTTATTATGACTTGCTTTCGCGTGGGTTTTTGCCTAATGTTGTTACTTATGGGGTGTTGATAAATGGTTGTTGTTGTCAAGGTGCTGCTTCAAAGGCGCCCGAGTTGTTTCATGAGCTGTTACTGAAAGGAATTCAACCCAATGTTGTCATCTACACGACTGTCATAAAAATTCTTTGTAATGAAGGTAAGATGCTGGAGGCGGGATGTATGTTTAGGTTAATAAAAGATTTGTATTTCCTTCCAAATTTGTACACTTTTAATGTTTTGATGAATGGATATTGCAAGATGGATAATGTTGAACGTGCTTTTGAAATATACCGGATGATGATTGGTGATGGCTTGAGACCAAATTTTGTTACTTTTGGTATCTTGATTGATGGACTTTGTAAGATGGGGGCATTGGTAGTGGCAAGGAACTATTTTGTTTGTATGGTTAAATATGGTGTTTTTCCCAATGTATTTGTGTACAATTGTTTAATTGATGGATACTGTAAGGCAGGTAATGTTTCTGAAGCAGTGGAGTTGAGCTCAGAAATGGAGAAGTTAAAAATTTTGCCTGATGTTTTCACTTACAGTATACTGATCAAGGGTCTTTGTAGTGTTGGCAGAGTGGAAGAAGCGAATTTTTTATTGCAGAAAATGATCAAAGATGGAGTTTTGCCAAATTCTGTGACTTACAATTCACTAATTGATGGTTACTGTGGAGTAGGTAACATGGAGAAAGCTTTGGAGATATGCTCTCAAATGACTGAAAAAGGTGTAGAACCAAATGTCATCACTTTCTCAACATTGATTGATGGTTACTGCAAGGCTGGAAATATGCAAGCTGCCATGGGTTTTTACTCAGAAATGGTTATCAAAAGCATTGTTCCTGATGTGGTGGCTTACACAGCTTTGATTAATGGGTACTGTAAAAATGGCAATGTGAAGGAGGCACTCCGGCTGCATAAAGTGATGCTGGAGTCAGGCTTAACACCCAATGCTTTCACATTAAGTTGCCTAGTTGATGGCCTTTGTAGGGATGGAATAGTTTTTGAGGCTTTCAGCGTTTTCTTGGAGAAGACTAGAGCTGGTATTTGTGAAAATGGAATCAACGAAATGGATGGCCTCTTTTGCTTGCCAAATCATGTGATGTCTATGATCTATACAACCTTGATTCAGGCCCTGTGCAAGGATGGCCAGATATTTAAAGCAGGTAAACTTTTCACAGATATAAGATGCATTGATTTGATAGCAGATGTGCCATCTTACATTGTTATGTTAGAGGGTCACTTTCAAGCCAAGCATATAATTGATGTGATGATGCTGCATGCTGATATGATAAAGATTGGCATCATGCCAAGCATTACCATAAACATGATCATGGCCAGGGGTTATCAAGAGATTGGAGACCTAAGATCAGCTCTTATGTGCTCTGAGGATTTAGCAGTTCAGAGCTTGGGTGTTTTCAATCAAGGGGACCATAAAGAACTTCAGCATGCAGTGAATGAGGACAAATAAGGCTGGTTTCTCATTAGTGATCTTTCTAATAGGTGAAAGGATCCCATAGTGCTGGTGCATTCCCTCCCTGATTGTCTCCCTCAAAGCTTGAGGTAGTGAAATTTTTTCGGCACTGCATCAAATTATTTGTTGTTAAGCGGGGAAGCTCTGCCATGGTTGTGGTTGCCAGTGATCATTCTAGTTGAAATCTTTGGAAGCCAGGAGATGCCAGACTTTTGATTCTCCATTCTTGGACGAACTAAAGTCTTGGCATCACATGTATCAGTTGTATTTGAAGATCTCTTGGATTCTTGAAAGCAAGCCATCTAAGTTGAGTTGCTTGGGTGGGGAAATCATGACATCAATGCTCAACTAGCTCAGAGTCTTTGGCGTTCCCTAACCAATCTAAAGCAATATAAAATTTCATTCCAATTTTACGTTTCAAATTTCGTTCTTACACAAAGGAAGTGTAGTACTTGTCTAATCTCACTACAAAGGAAATGAACCAGAAACCCCAAAGAGCTGTAGAGCCTATTCAGGAAGATGCAAATGCTTAATGTGGAACCTGACCAAGTGACTGTAACGGTTGCTCTCTCTGCCTGTGGGGCGCTAGAAATGGGAGAATGGATTCATGCATACGTTCGTCGAGAACCGGAGCTCAAGGGATGCTCTCATAAACATGTATGCAAAATGTGGTGAGATAAAAACTGCAAGTTGCTGGATAGCTTAGGAGAAAAGGATGCGAACACATGGACTTCCATGATCGGATTAGACGAAAGTGCAATTATATTTAGCTTGAAGATTTAGTTGTTTGCAATGAATCTGTGTTGGGAAATGTAGACAGCAAGCTATAGTTAGACAACCAGCTCAACTGTCAGGATTAATTGTGAAGCCTGTCAAATGGTCGGTTATACTATTGGTTATTTCTACTGATTTCATCCAAAATAAATTATTTGATAATGGAGCACGTCATTGTTGCCCAAAAATAAAGAGCATCTGGGTAGGATCCAACACTTAACAATTAATGTGGGCTGCATTATAGGTTGAAAACAGGGCAGTACTATTGTTAATGGTTGGTAACGGTTTGGATGGATGAGTGGTAGTATTATAAGAAGAAGGTGAGTTAATTGACTTTTTTGAAACCCTGTGGCCAAATAAAGGGGAGAGAGTAAGCCACAAAGCTGAAA